CCACAGCTCCCGTTGAATCGGAACCCATGGAGAATGGTTTCACTCGCCTCACCGATATGGAACGAGAAAGAAGACTGCGGAATCGTCTCTGTCTCTACTGCGGTCTATCCGGCCATATGAGAGCTTCCTGTCCCATCCGACTCTTTGCTATTGACTCTCCTCTGAATCCCATCATCCTTGGTCTGCCCTGGCTAGAGAGACACAACCCCCGGATCTCATGGACCACGAAGCAGATTCTACAGTGGTCTGACTCCTGCCAACGGAATTGTTTACTCACCAGCCTAACGCCCTCATCTCCCCGACCAGCCCAGATATCAGATGATTCACCGGTTCCGAGAATACCCTCTGAGTACCAGGACCTCGCTGACGCTTTCAGTAAGACCAAAGCCTTGCAACTTCCTCCTCACCGACTCAGTGACTGTGTGATCGATCTTCTTCCAGGATCAAACCCCTTTAGTTTTCCCACTATCACAGCCAGAGTCCGAGGCCATGAAGGTGTATATTGATGAGGAGCTGTCAAAGGGGTTCATTAGACCATCCACCTCACCTGCGATAGCTAGTTTCTTCTTTGTCAAAAAGAAAGAGGGAGGTCTCCGGCCATGCATCGATTACCGCAGTCTAAATGAGATGACAGTCAAATTCCGGTACCCTCTACCTCTAGTTCCAGCAGCTCTAGAACAACTCCGCACTGCTAAATATTTCACCAAGCTCGACCTTTGCAGTGCCTACAATCTTATTCGCATTCGGGAAGGAGACAAGTGGAAGACGGCTTTCTCAACAATGTCAGGGCACTATGAATACCTCGTCATGCCGTTCGGCCTGGTAAACAGTCCTTCAGTCTTCCAAGCTTTCATCAACGATGTTTTCCGGGACATGCTGAATCGGGGGGTCATAGTCTATATAGATGATATCTTGATCTATTTGGATACCCTGGACTCACATGTGCAGCACGTGCGGGCTGTACTTCAGAGGCTCATTGACAACCAGATATATGCCAAGATGGAGAAATGTGAGTTCCACCAGACAGTTACCTCTTTTCTTGGTTACATCATTAGCGCTGAGGGGGTAGCTATGGATGCGCTCTCCAGGCAGTTCGAGGAAGATCAGATCCCTCCTTCCAAGGAGCCTATAATTCCCTCTAACCTCATTCTCGCTCCTGTTCAATGGGACATTATGACAGAAATTGCAGAGGCCCAGATCAGTGAACCTCCTCCGCCAGAATGTTCCCCGATCGCACCTATGTTCCCACGAGCCTTCATCATCATGTGATGCAATGGGTCCATAACTCCCCCAGCGCAGGTCACCCTGGGATAACAGCCACCATTCAACTCATCTCCAACCGGATCTGGTGGTCCACTCTCCAGGCAGATACCATTAAGTTTGTTCGTCAGTGTACTATTTGTGACATCTCCAAATCTTCCCACCAGCGCCCAGCAGGTCTTCTTCAGCCACTTTCTGTTCCCCAGCGGCCATGGTCACACATAGCTATATACTTTGTCACTGATCTCCCCAGCTCAAAGAACTATACCACCATCTTAACGGTCATTGATCATTTCTCGAAGGCATGCCATCTCATACCCCTGAATAAACTGCCCACAGCCTTTGAAACTGCAGAGGTACTCCTCGAACAGGTCTTCCGTTTCTACGGACTTCCTGAAGACATTGTCTCGGACCGTGGTCCTCAGTTCACTTCCCGAGTTTGGTCCGC